CCCCAAAACCCCAAAACCCCAAAACCCCACAGAATGGTATTTTCAAAATTTAAAGCACTTTAGCAAATTGAAATAAAATATTTCAAATTCTTAATAATGGAGTAGATGTTATTGGAAAAGATAACTCCAAGAGATGAGTTGGCAAGCAATTCGCTCTAGGAACATTCTAAGACCACGGATCTCAGATCTAATTACAACACCAAGAATATTTCAAAGCTAGACAATTTCTTTATTCCAATGGAGCTATCTGACTATTTACTTACTAGTAATCTTGGGACAGATTAATCAGAGAAGGACATTAATAAACTCATGCATCAAACACTAATAAATGTAGCAAATAGACTAAACCATCATCAGCAAGTGCATTATGACATCTTAGAGGTGCTTAACTCTGAGCTCAAGACTAGACCTACTTTCAGGCAGACCATTGAGAACTTTAGAATGAATATACCTAGAATTAAGGAAGCAAGGTTGCAGGAAAGAGATGACTTGATGATGGGGAGAACTCCATTAGCAGATGATAACATAGTTAAAGTTGTAAGTGACAGATACTTTTCAAAAGATGAGAACTATTTGGCGATTGACGGCTAGCGCAGTAAAGACCCGAATCTCTGTGAGCTCTATGTCGACACTCATTACATTGACTACATGCTTGGCAACTTAAACCAAGAGTCCCAATTTTTATTTGAAGATCTGAATAGGAAGGTAAATGATAATACCTCAAATATAGTAAAGCTGCTGGACTCTCATGATAGAGAGTATAAATGGATTCAAGCTTAGATGTTCAAAACTATTAGACAGAGCACCAAAACTAATAACTTGCTGACTCGCACTCTTCTGAATAAATTCGCATACACGAAGAAAAAAATACTCTATGCTGAGTGGAAGCGCATGGTCGTGAATAAGAGGCATGAATAGCATTAGTTGAAACGCATGGTTGCCATATTCAGCAAGTATCATTAAGCAAAGGCATTGGGAAGAATAAAGAATAACATTAGAAAGGAAAAGGTGATCAAGGACAGAAGCAAGCTTGAAGGAGTGTTTCTGATGCTTGACGAACTAAAAATTCACTTGAAGAAATTTGACAAGGCTTTGGAGCGGATGTTCAAGGAAAAGAGTGATAGGACTGAATTTGAAATGCTCAAATAGAGTGTCGACTAGAATAGAGCCAAGACTATCTTCAATGACATGAAAGAACTCTTTGATACGTACATGGTTTAATTTAAAGATTAACTTGAAAATGAAAAGGCTAAAATGCGGGAGGCCTTCTAGTATATGCTTTCTGAGACTGAAGAAAAATGTGATAGGAAGGATTTGAGAAGTTTTCAATTGAGAATCGATAAACTAGAGCAGTCAATCTCCAATATGCAACTTGAGAATTGCAAGTTGAAGGAAAAGATATCAACTGATAGAATAGAATTTAACATGAACAGATGCTTTGATGAGCTTGGCTTTTCGAAATAGAAAATAGATTTTCTCGAATAGGACAACGAGGACATTCGATCGAAAGTGGATTACTTCATTCACTTGGTATAAAACTCTCAAATCTAGATGGGATAGAACTAGGATAGGAATACTAACTCCTCTGAGTAATATGCACTTGTACCAATTTAAACCCACAATAGTCAGTTCAGAACTATTCATGCTAGAAGTAATGACATAAATAGAGGTAAGAGGAGGCAGCAGAGCATGGATGATCTTTAGGAGTAAGTCTTGAATCTCTAATCTGCTAAAACCTCTGCCAATAATCTGTATAGCTAGAATCATACTATTGGTAATCCCAATGATTAGAGGCCTCATACTTCTTGGGGTGGTTCTGGCAGGATCTCTTCTTCCTCTCGACCAAAAACTAAAGAATTTACTCTGAGGTAAAATTAGAACTACTCCAATGTATCAACAAACTATCGTGATATTCATTCTGCTAAAAATAGAAGAGCCTCTAGTAATATCGACACCTCTAACCTCAATTAAAGTGGGTAGAATATGAGTGGAGCTAATTTCTTCATTACAGCTACTCCGCTTTAGGTAAATAACATTGAGGTATCTACAGCTGCTAACACAGTGACTGGTAAGAATGGCATGCCTAGCTCGTCAAAGTAGTTTAAACTTAGAGAAATATAAACAGGGACGTCTCTAAATAATGCTGGAAATGGGAATAGTAGTGCAAACGTAGTAGGAAATGGACTAAATAATGGAAATGTATTGAATAATTCAGGTTATGGAATACTTCAGAAGAATACCTCGAAGTAGATAACAACTATTAAGATCTAGCCTCCAACCGTTGAACAAGAGGGCAAATCTGAAGACCACACTCCTAATTAGATTGCTATATACCAACCTGATAAACTGCATCAATATCTACATAGTAATACAATGGAAAATAATTTGAAGCCGAATGTATAAAATTTGGAATTAGACTTCAATTTTAGCAATACGAATCCTGATCCAAGCTAAGAGAAAGATAAACTTACATATACTTTGAATCCCTCAATGAATAAACGTATCAAGTCTAAAAAGATAGAAGATCTGAGGAAAGTAGCAGTCAATAACATGAAGAAGTCTCTGACTATGATGAACTCAGCAGGTGGAATGCAACGTCCGAGATAGGGAGCAATGATAGCTCAAAGAAGCAATTCAACCAAGAATGAATTTATCAGAGATTACGAGTCATAGCAACAGCAGCAATAGTAACCTTTTGAGGCCCCAAAGAGTATTGTTCAAGCCAAGAAAGATCAAAAGTATCGAAGGAAAATGTCTGGAAGGCCTTCGTTTAATGCCTAGAACAATTTGCTTTCTTCAGACAAACTTCGCAGTGGGTTCATCAATGATAACACTTTGCTTAACACTGGACAGCTATTCCAAGAGGACAATCTCTTTAGCTGAAGTAATTGAATTGATATCCTTTTATTGATATAGTTTGAACTTGATAAATTACTATTTTCTCTAATAAGCATTTTAGATGATTAAAGGGGTTTTGGGGTTTTGGGGTTTTGGGG